GAAGGAAGGAAGGAAGGAAGGAAGGAAGGAAGGAAGGAAGGAAGGAGAGATAGGGAGAAGGAAGGAAAGAAAGAAGGAAGGAAGGAGAGATAGGGAGAAGGAAGGAGAGATAGGGAGAAGGAAGGAAGGAAGGAAGGAAGGATGATAAACTGATCTAAGGATTTCAAGTAATGACGCTGGAACCTTTTTTTAAAAGACTGCCTCAATCTGCAAGTTTGGCCCCCTTCAGTGAGAAAGCATTTTAAAATATCAATGCTATTAAGAGTTATATAGAGTGTAAATATTTAAAAACGAGACATTTGTGTAAATATTAGCAACACCCAGCTGCCATAAACCAGGGGAATAAGATCAAGCAGTTTTTCAGATAAAGGAGACCTCTTGCTTCCTGCCTCTTGGCCGCTTTAATAAAGTCCCAAAGTCCGTCCACGGAGGAGCTGCCTTTTTCGGCCTCCTCAGAGACCAGCTTTCCATGGGTTTTCCCAAGAGGGCTGCCCATGTGCCGCCCTGGACCCGTTATATGTTGTGTGAAAAGCTTGGCTCAACCTTGAGTTTTGTGCAACAGACAGGCATTAAAAAAAGTGATAAAAGATTTTCTGCAGGAAATGCCAGTTTTTACACCCAAGATACGGGGCTTGTGTTACTGCTGCTGCCATCGATTGTGTCACTGATGAAGAAGGTCCTGGCCTTTTCCCTCTTTGTGCAGAAGTGAAACCACATCTCATGGCAGTCAGTCGTTTCCCCAACAGTGTCAGGGCTCCCTTTCCTTCCCACTGGAGTAAAACCCTTAGGTGACACAGCCTAAACCAACAGTAATAAGAAATGTAGGGAGTCTTCTTTTAACTCTGACTCGGGGTGTCTCAGATCTTCTAATTCTCTTAAGCTTTTCCCCTGATGCCTTCAGGCATGGAATTCCTTCTCTGTGGCTGTTCCTTTAGACTCTGGAACTCCCTCCCACTGGACTTCAGCCTGGCCCCGTCTTTGCTCTCCTTCTGCAAGCAGGTACAGACCTTTCTCTCCAGGCAGGCTTTCCCTAAGTGACTGGATTCCTGAGTGGGGTTTGATGGATTGCCATACTTTGCTGCTTTGAATGTGTTTTGCTGTTGCTTTCGTTTACTCTTTTTAGTATATTTGTTTCATCCTTTTATTATCATCTATTCACTGTCGTTAGCTTTACGTATTGTCTTTTCATGATGTAAGCCACCTTGGGT